TACTAGACTACTAAAAATTCAAGAGAAACAAAGCAACTTTAATGTCAAAAATATAAACAAAAAGTTTTACTTTCAAAACAGCAACAGCCATTTAAACACTAATTTTCTTTACCTTTTATATATTAATTATTGACTGTACAGAAATTTGAGGTGCCAAAATATTCAGATTTTGGCATTCTATTTGTATTATCAACTGTATCTCATTTTTATTTTGGTTATCTGATTGTTTATTTGTATCACATGGATCAAAGATACGTGAAAGAAAAAAATCTAACGAATAAATCACAGCTTTAAAATAGCTAAAATTTAATAGTGCAATACTGCCACCTAGTGAAGGAAAATAAAATCACAACCAGGGCTAAAAAAATGCATTAAACCTTTATTGCTTTTTTGTACTACTGGCTACAGAATCCAGCCATTTGTCACCTGTTTTACTTACACACAACTCTGTTGTTTAAAGCAACCTTTGGCTATTCGGACACATCTACCTAATACAAACGTAAAGGGCGTGACATGTCAATGGAAACAATATTAGCTTAGTTAAATTACTCATTCTTTAAAAAAAATTTWAAAAAAATCTGAAAAGTACTTGCAACATATCAATTATAGCTTTAAATCAATAGGAAAAAACATATGATGATTAGAAACACATTTCAGTATGCAACATGCAACAATCAAAAACAAAACAATAGATTTTTCTCATAAAAAACATTCAAAAAACCCCAGAAACAGTTCTGCTGATTTGTCTTTCTAGTCCTTTATTTTCCTCCAGAGTTTAAACGTAATATGCAAACCTCTACCAAGTCAATCCCACCAACAAGAACATGTAAGACTTTAAAAAAAAAAGAAAATTCCCATGATTCTGGTTCACAGAGCTGCTTCAGGATGATTGTAGGTCTGCGGCTCTCTCAAAAACATTTTTTCTTGCAACATTAAAATATTTTGAATAGTTAGGTTGAACTTGGCACAGCTGTAGAATGTAAGCTGACGCTTATTAACGCTTTCACATACTTGGATCACAGTTCAAAATCTGACATGATATAGCATAATATATGGCAATCTCCACTTTATAAAAACAACCATCAAGTAATCAACTACCTAATTTTCTATAAATACAAACTACAATCTGGCAGCAAGCTAACTTGTAAGCTTATATAATCAGCCTGTTTGAGATTTTGTATTTCATCACAAAAGACAGAAGCCAATTCATTTATTAATCTTGTATCTAAAGTGATTTTATCGTTTAAACCACATTTTGTGTTGGCTCAACACGTTGTATAAGTTTTCTTGTCACTTAAATTAAACAAGGCTGAAAATATATATATATGGCACTATCAAGAATAATAAAAGATAATGCTTTAATTGGAGTTTAAGTCTGATAAAGAATAACATTCAGTTTCTTATTTAAAAACTACCTCAAGTATGGTCAAATAAAGGCAAAATAAGTCAAATACCTTTTTGTAAAAGGAACTTTTGGTGTACAACAACGATAAATTACAAAAGAAAAAATAATAAAACACGCAGACATACCAATATGATCATTAATGAGTTAAATAAGTAGAAGCTTTGGCTTCATTACAACTACCTGCTGATAGAACCTGCATCCTGGCACCTGAATCTATTTCTAATGTTAGAGACACAAGATGGTCCAACTTAGAGCTATGTTGACACAAAAACAAGTGGGACTAACCAAATG